CATGTTATTATGAATATATAAGATGTCATTTACTGCAAAATTAATGGATCAATTTAGAACTGTGCAGATACTTATACAAAATTGTTGATTGAATTAGAAATGTACAGAGACGTATTTATAAATGTATAGAATGTAAAGTAATAGCAGTGTATACATAGAAATTATGCTTTATACATGGGAACAGTGACGAGGTAGGGTATTGTCTTATTGGTTTATGTACCATGCATTTGGGAGGTAGACACCCTGGTCCCTGTTTATTGCTGGTTTTGTGCGTTTGATGAAGATAGCCTCAATCAACTTGCGTTTACGCCAGTCACTGATGTTTTTTGAGAGGACTTCAGTTTCCCAGTCAATTTCATGATCGGGATTAATCATAATGTGTTCAGAAACTGCAGATTTCAGATCTGATTTGTCACCACACCACAGATGTCACCACATTTCAGTTTATACACACAGCCTTTAGGGTTGGATATAGCGTGATTGCACCCCTTACCATTTGCACGTAGCAAAGTTTTAAGGGTTTTGCCAGACGAGAAAGTGGTGTCAATGCTGGCCATTTTCTTTAGGAGTCTGCTGACTTGGTGGCTGATGGGCCCAACATACGGGATGTTGATGCGGATGGGAGATGGTTCAGGTTTCGGAGGAGGCTGAACTTGATCTTGTAGTGTTTTCTATATGGTGGTTTCAACAAGGTTCTTTGGATAACCATTGTATGTGATGAATGTTGTCATCAGGTGGTCGCAAGTGTGGCAACAATTGCTCTCTTAATTTGGGGATGGTGGTTTGAGTGATAGTGAATATATTGGTCTGTGTGGGTAGGTTTCCGATAGACCGACGTGATGAGCTGGTTGTTTGAGTTGTCAATGGCGATGTCCAAGAAAGGGAGGTTGTTATGCTGTTCTGTTTCCATCGTGAACTTAAGAACTAGAATTAAGTGGCCAGCATTGACACCACTTTCTCGTCTGGCAAAACCCTTAAAACTTTGCTACGTGCAAATGGTAAGGGGTGCAATCACGCTATATCCAACCCTAAAGGCTGTGTGTATAAACTGAAATGTGACTGTGGTGACATCTACATTGGTGAGACAGGCAGACCAGTAGCTACACGTGTGAAAGAACACAAAACTTCAGTGGACAAATCAGATCTGAAATCTGCAGTTTCTGAACACATTATGATTAATCCCGATCATGAAATTGACTGGGAAACTGAAGTCCCTCAAAAACATCAGTGACTGGCGTAAACGCAAGTTGATTGAGGCTATCTTCATCAAACGCACAAAACCAGCAATAAACAGGGACCAGGGTGTCTACCTCCCAAATGCATGGTACATAAACCAATAAGACAATACCCTACCTCGTCACTGTTCCCATGTATAAAGCATAATTTCTATGTATACACTGCTATTACTTTACATTCTATACATTTATAAATACGTCTCTGTACATTTCTAATTCAATCAACAATTTTGTATAAGTATCTGCACAGTTCTAAATTGATCCATTAATTTTGCAGTAAATGACATCTTATATATTCATAATAACATGTATTCTATTAGCCATGTCATCTGTATCTATTGACCACCACATGTATTGCGTCGTCATAGCATTGTGACGTCATAAGCATTGTGACGTCACGGCCAGAGTTAACAGTTACTGTTCAGTTTACCTGATGATGGGGCCAGAACAAGCCCTGAAACGCTGTACTCGAGAATACAAAGAAGATGTAACCCAGAAAAATCTCTATGTTCATCAAATGGTTAATAATTCTTTGCTTTTTGTAGGCGAAGGAGACGCTAGAAAAGCTGAAGGTGAAGGCAGCTTCGACCCTCCAGCCCCTCTACGAAGAAGGCCTTATCGACATGAGAGATGGAAGTTGGAATGAGAAGGATGGCATTCCCGCCTGAAGAAAGGCTCATCCAAACATTTTCGAGATTGTGTCCTTCTTGTCACGAGAACAGACAAACACCGAAAACAAGCTAGTCCAGTATGCTGCTGGCCAGAAGCGTCCCTCCAAGAAGAGGAAATAAAGGGATTTGGAGCGACGACTGGATAACATCTGTCACCAGCTTGAACAAGGAACACTGTCTGTGAGGCAGTTTGCTGATTCAGCATCCCACCTATTGCATTTAGGTTAAAATCTTTGAAAAAATGTATGCTGTATGAATTTACGATGTATTTATTAAAAATGCTAAAATCTGTCAACTAATAAAAATCTGTCATCTGTTGTCATCTTCTCATTAGGTGCGCTCTCATCCGCATAATCCGGATTATCCTCCTCTAACAACACTTTGATCCTGCATTGTCCTCGTAATCCATTATTAAGTGGCAAAGTGAAACTAGTCTCAGGACGTCGACCTTCAGATTGCACCCAACCGTAAAGTTGGGTCGAAAGGTCGGCGTCGTGAGCCTCAACCGATCTACTATATGCGTGTTAGCTTCCCGTTTGTTTAATTTGTTGTTGTAGCAGTGTACCTATGCACACGGCATGCACAATGGGCAACTGCAATCATTTAAGCTTACACTGCAATAATCGCAGGAGTCTTGTATCCTAGCAACGGTTTAATCTGATATCGGACTGTACGCCGAATGACTCGGCTCGGCTATATGCCATTCAGGTCATTAAAATAACACTTGTTTGACACGTAGTTTTATGGTGTATATTGATCTATAGGTGAAAATGTCGCACATTTACACACACAGAATGTCACACTTCCACACACGAAGAATACAGAAAATATGCACTATCCTCTAATAATCACACTTCGTACAGAAGATACTATATGCATTTCAGATTCTTCTCAGATTGTTAGATAATTTTGTCAAAAATTATTTAATTGACACTACAAAATCTCTATACGGTCAGACAGCAACAATTTGGCATGACAGACAAATGAAAGTTAACAACAATGTTTAATGAATCCATGTGATTCTTTCATTTTTGTATTTTTCACCATCTAGATATATGTTTCTGGCATTTTTGTGTGGTTTACGATACCGTTATCATAAGCGGCAGTACATGCATGATGTCAGTGAGTATGTCCCAACGGGTGACGTCCACATGACGCATCAAGAAACTCGGGATTTCCCAATTTACATAGCAAATAGTAGACAGTGAGTTTAGTTTTACGCCGCGTTTGGCAATATTCAAGCAATATCACGACAAAGGACACCAGAAATAAGCGTCACACATTGTAACCATATGTGGAATCGAACTGGGGTTTTCGGCGTGACGAGCGAACGCTTTAACCACTAGGCTACCCCACCGCCCAAGCAAGCAGTAAATTAATGATGGATCAAAGACTGAATATTGTAATGTGTACTTTCTTTCACTTGACACTTTATCATCGGTATGCATTGGATGTGCTTACATGTCTTTATCAGGATATCTTTAGCAAATTAGTTTCCAGGTTTAAACGAAGACAGTGTTCGCAGTGTGCATTAACGTTGTTGTTTTTAAATAAATAAATATAAAATAAGTAAATATGCTTACATAGGATATTATATTATGATAATTTATTTGACTCTCAGAGAGTTGCACTACAGTCCTACAACATCGTGTTCTCGTAATAAGAAACGTTGCAGGATGTTCAACCTGAAACCCCTTTCAGCAGCCGTGACCATGGTTAATCGAGAACTACTTCGCCCTAACGCATCTTTTCAGAACGTCCCTTATAACGCCCTGGTATCTCGCTGTACAGCGAGGTGATTCTGTATGCTCATTATCATCAAACATAATCGGATTTAATTTTAGTAGAGGCCCTGTTAAGGTTGTCAATGCAGAAGCCGATGTTGCGCCATGTTTAAGATTGGAGTTAACTGTTTTCTCAACTTTAATTAATAGGTTTCATCGCAATTGGTTAACTATGTAAGATGTATTTCTTAATACTCGTTGCGACCTGGATGAAGATAATGATAAATCAAAATTTAAATAAAATATTCAAAATTACGAAAATATGCTAGATCGCATGCTAGAAGTTACATCAACCTATCTATGCCGGTGTGAGAAGCATTCATACTGCAAGTTGGACCTTTTAATATGATTTCGTCTCTGTTTAAAATTTAAGATAAGCTTGATACTTTGCCTTTGTGGATCACGAAATTTGACAATGTACAATAAATCGTTTAGTTCCTGATGCAGCATTCACAAAATATGCTGTACTTGTTGTTTTTAAACTAATTCAAGTGTGGAATAGTTATGACGTCATTTGGACAACAAAGATGATTAAATATATGTTATGTGGTTGTTGTATAATTTCTACGATTAGAATGTTTCTGGGTATCAAGGAATGATATTTTCCATAATGCTTTAAAGAACGTATCAACCTTTTATGGACGTTTCAATCGATTAAAATATTCTGCCATCCTATCTGTTCAACAGGATGTCGATATCAGGGCTCCAGATAACTTTTGGGGGTGCGAGTGTACTTACACACCATATTGCAAGTGGAGGTGTACTGAGAATTTTGAAGGAGTACTGACATGTTTTTTGTGTGAGCGAGTTGGTGATGTGGTTTGTCTGGACGATTCATCGATCACTATTTCCAATCATGTATTTGTATTTGAAGACGCGTGAGAAATAACTGAGCGACCGTGTGATGCGCGAAATGTCAGGTCCGACTGAATATAAATAGGAACAGTGTAGGTTTTAGCCAATCGAAAAATAGTGACGCATATCGTTGCATGGCAACGCAAGGGATTCCTACTGTCGGGGTTTCCTAATGTGTCAAATCGTGTTTCGCAAAAGAATATTGACAAGTATTTATCCGAAATAGATTTCCATTTGCACGATACGCATGGAAATTAAATGTTAGACGTACAAAGGTATTTATGTGCGTACACGATACGCTTGAAATCTTATATTATGTCGTACTCAATTGATTTTGAGGCGTACATTACGCCTGTACGCCCCTTATCTGTAGCCCTGGATATGTTTGTTTTCATTGGACGAGTTTAAATGGCTTCAGTGGGACTTTCATTCAAGCACTTCCTTTTCATTTGCAGATAACTCAAGATGGTGGCAGGATGCGGTGCCAACTGCATGAAGTATACGCTCTTCATCTTCAACATCCTCTTCTTCGTAAGTATGAAGCAGTATAGATACGAGTGACAACAGTAATGCATTATTTTATTATGGGAAACAGTTAAACGCGGGGATGGATGCACTGTTTCTACATGTTCAGCAAGGGACAATGATATTCAATTACATCCTTCGACGAGTAACATTCTTCTGAAGAAGATACCATTACTCCAGAAGAACCCTAAGGTGTGTGTTAATTTGATTGAACCAAATTTTAATCACAGAATAGATGCAAGCACAGGGTGATTGCAGGTCGTGGAAGGTGAATCCCACGAGTGCGGAGGACATTTTTTTTCTGCCTGACCAGAGGTCAAGAATGCGAAGTGTAATACAAGTATTTTATGGGCGTCCTTGTGTAGTATTGACCTCTTTTCCCTCTTGCACGGGCGAAACTGGCACCATCTTGTTGCTCAAGTCTTCCAGCTGCTTGGTACCAGTAAGCCGATCTTTCGGTCCAGCATATCAAATGCACTGGAGTAAACGTTCTGCTTTTACTTTTTTTGGTCTGGCACAATTGTTGGACCATCTTGCCAATTGGTGTCCCGTCTCCAGACTCTAGTGTGCCTTCCATAAGCTTAGAAGCTTACATCCACCTCTGTAACTGTTCGTTACTGCTTAAAAGGAAAGAAGCAAAAGACAGCGGTTATGGTTTTGTTGTGGTAAATCATGAATACTATGCACATATACTCAAGCCAATAATGGTTGTCACCCCCTTCATTTTTTTTAATACGAGGGGGGTGGGGTGTGAGGTTTGTGGGGGTTGGGGTGGGGAGGGGGGTGACAACCATTATTGGCATGAGGATATTTCTAATATCACGTCAAGAGGACTGTTAGTGCGACAGGGCCGAGGATTTGGTCATTACATAAGAAAACACTACTAGATCCACATGGTTGTTACATACATCGTGCCAATAGACATCCCTTGTCATGACTTGTCACCACTTGCATAGATTTACGCCGCAATATTCCAGCTATATGGCGGTGGTCTGGACCAGACAATCCAGTGATCCCCAGCGTGAGCATCGATCTACACAATTTGGATACGATGACATGTGTCAGCCAAGTCAGCGAGCCTGACCACCCGATCCCGTTAATCGCTTCTTATGACAAGCATGGGTTGCTGAAGACCACTTCTAACCCGTATATTCACGGGTTCTTAGTTCTATAACCATGTCCCCTCATGTGTGAGTATTCGTTGAAGATGCCAGATTGATCCTGAAGATCTTGAGGATCACGAGGATTACATCGTCTAAAATGCCACTTAAGGACATCAACCATAAGTCTGTACACCTGCTGATTGTCACTGTGGATAAAGTGTAATGTTCCTTGCAGTTGGCAGGGGTGGTGCTTGCGGCTGTCGGCGGGTACTTGATGTTCACAGCTGATGCCTTGGCAGCAAGCCTGGACCAGAACGATTTGTCAGAAACGGCCCGACAACTGATCAAACTGGCATCGATTGTGTTCATCGTCGCAGGTCTCCTCCTCGTGGTCATCTGCTTCTTCGGCTGCTGTGGGGCTATTAAAGAAATCAAATGCATGCTGGGAACGGTAAGTGAAACTGAGACATTAATGAGTGAGTGAGTGAAAAATGTATTACACCGCATCAGCAATTTTGCAGCTATTCGCGGCGAGAAATACTTTTTCTGTTACAATATATTAAGGCTACAAATAAGTATGATTGTGAAATTCACTGAACATTGAACTGGGACATTAAATTATTGTTGTGTACATTGTAATACTTGCTTTCTAATTTGCAAAGAGTCATTGGATTCATTTCACGGTGAATCTAGAAATTTAAGCCCCGCTAACCGAAATAGGACTACTTTCACAACTAAGAACGGAAAGTTCCCTAATCCGAGGTATTTTCGAGAGAATTCCTTTGAAAACCAGCCTTCGAGACCGAAGGACGATAGGGGCGGTGGGGTAACGAAACGTCGCATTTGGTGCAATAAAGAAGTTGTTTATCTATAACAGGTGAATCTTTCCTTCATGCCAGCTTCTAAATGCCACTTAAAGAACTTACTTATCCATGTGTTTGAGACGGTTGTTACCAGTGTGGAGGATACGCAACCACCTCCAAACACTGGTGTCATCGTTAATTGATTCATGTGGTGATACTATAATCGCAATCGTCCAATGGAATCGGATTTCGTATGATCATAAAATGGTTTTGCCTCTTCTATACTCTTCAAAATAGTAGGGGAACTTCAATTTGGATGGGAAGTATAAGCGTTAACAAACCTTTCAAAAACAGACATCTTATGAACCATTTCTCGTTATCACCACCCCTAAACACAACGCATGGGATGCACGTGCACAACGCAGTAACCTTCTGCACGTGCATGGGGTGTCATTCTTGATTTTGACGGTTTTCAAGAAGGTCGACAAATCACTGTAGACCATTCATCTTGCATCATACAGAAGTTAGTGTTTTTTTCTCTCCATTTTTTTTTTTTATTGGTTTGAAAATGAAAATCCTACACTTGCAAATTACACGTCATACACTAATCATCTTTAAAGAGCGATTACTGTACAAACAACTATGGTCATACGGAAGTGGTGAGGCTAAACATTTATTACTAACATATCAACATTGATTGACTCCGCTATATCTCCCAACTGTTTCCATTGTAAATTAAAACTGAACTACCCTACTTTTTTAAGAGTATATTTACACTACCACCGTTACTATGTTCCAGTATGCGGTTCTCATCGGCATTGTCATCATTGCTGAGTTGGTCGTTGCCATCAGGATATTCATGTTCAAAGGATCGGTAAGTTGAATGAGTGGGTGATAGAGTAAGCATGGTATTCCTCTTCAGAACTGCATTTTGTATGTATTTTACGGCTTTTCAGTTTAATGGGGAAGGAAATCCGCAATTTCTGTACTTGTTAAACATTTACGAATTGGATGAAACACAAACGCCATTGATGACTTTACAAAATAAAATGAAACAAAATAAATGAAAACATTTCTGTGAAAATTGTCACATGTGATTATACATTTGATATTTTAGTTGGGGATGATGCCTTCACAACATTTCTGAACATTTCCAGCGTTCATGTTATTTTGTACCACCTCAGGCATAATAATGTATTTGCAGTATTTTTTCTACATGTTATCATTTTCTCAAATGGTCAAATGGACAGTCCCTTCATATCTGTTTCTTATAGCTGGACACTCTTTTGGACGCTGGTAAAAATGCAACCCGTATGAGTGTCCGAAAGTACGGCAGTGACAGCGACAATGACGACATCTTGGACAATATGCTGCAAACGGTAAGGCATAAAGATATTCAACTTTTGAACCATTACACTTTCTGGTTGTCGTAATTTATATCTATCAGCTAAATAATAATCAAATCAAATACATATTTAGAGTACCACATGTAGCGACCCCCATGAATATCGAGGAAAGAATGCGTGTCCTGAGAGGCGACTAACGAGATTGAATGGTCAGTCTGGCACAATTCGATGGGATGGTGGGATAGCCTAGTGGTTGAAACGTCCGCTCGTCACGCGGAAGACCCGGGTTCGATTTGCCACATGGGTACAATGTGTGAAGCCCATTTCTGGTGTTCCCCGTCATGGTATTGCGGGAATATTGCTGAAGGCGGCGTAAAACTGATACTCACTCACTCACAATTCGTTGATCTAAATTGCGTAGATCGATACTCATGCTGTAAGTCACCAGACTACTGGCTCCAGGCTCCAGGCTCCAGGCTCCAGGCTCCAAGCTCGATGTTTTAGACACCACGGTCAGATGGCTTGAATACTGCCGAGTTGAACAGACAAACAAACCTGTAGCGATCAGAGATACTATTTCCAACACACCTGTGGCTGAGAAAACCATGTGATATAACTGATAGCAAACAAGTGGCTTAGATCGAATTCCAGATCCGTGATTGGTTCCTCCATAGTCATGATAAAGTTCTAACTATGACTAACCACATTCCTGATTAATTTATAACTTCGTCTAGTATGGGTAACTAACTTACGTTTGTGTCGTTTTACAATGTTTTGGGATCCTATCTAGGTTTCATCGTCATCTTCACTTTGATAATCCACAGATATGACGGATATCAGTTATGTAGAAGGGTCTCACTAACTATCACTAGTGAACCGGATGCTGTCGCTAATAACCGTTCTGTAGATTTTGTATTTACGCTCCATTGTTTTTATGAGAAGTGAGCCCATTTCTGCTGTCCCTCTCCGGATATTGTTGGAATATTGCTAAAAGCGGCGTAAAACTAAACTCACCCACTCACTCATGAGAAGTGACAAATATATGTCGTTTCGATGCTACAACGATGTCATTCTAGAGTGTTTGAGAAACATATTACTGCACTCGTGTCAGCCAGATAGCTTTAGTCGTACAAGTCGCCGTTTCCAATAGCATCCACGGTAGCTGAGATACCCGATTGCACTAATTTAGAATCAGATCTGTTAGAGCAGAGTATCGTATCATTTCAATAGCAACATTGGTGGGGCAACATGTATATAGGGACCTGGTAGAAGCACCAATGACATTAACAGTTGTTACTTTGCGATGAATGGTATTCATAAAACAACGTACTTTATGTTGCAGAATGAATGTTGTGGTGGTGATCATTGGACTGATTTCAAAGAACATGCCACCGAGTGGGAAAGGAAAAATAAAGGCTACGAAGTCCCCTTGTCTTGCTGCAAACTTAACGACCCTAGTGAAAGAATAATCGAAAGCAACCTGGTTGAACGCACGTGTCCCACTCGACCAACACGGATGAATTCGTACATAGGCAAAGTGCGTATTCACCTTTACTGACTTGTGCTGTTCAGTGCCATTATGAAATTATAACGATATCAATATCTACTGCTGGTTTGTATCGTGGACATATTTTCGTTTTCTTTTGCAGGCTTGTAATGAGCAAGGTGGTCCATTTACCGGCTTACTTCGGGTATTCTTCTATGGAATCATGGGAGTTGTGTTTGGACTGATAGCAGTCGAGGTAAATTTCACTTATCATATCCCTACTCCCATCATTGTTCCCTAGAACTTTCTCTGCCCTGTCACTGTCACATAGAGCTTTCCCTATCCTGTCACTGTGACATAGAACTTTCCCTCTCCTGTCACGTAGAGCTTTCCATGTCCTGTCACTGTGACACAGAACTTTCCCCGTCCTGTCACTGCGACACAGAACTTTCCCTGTCCTGTCACTGTGACACAAAACTTTCCCCGTCCTGTCACTGTGACACAGAACTTTCCCTGTCCTGTCACTGTGACACAGAACTTTCCCTGTCCTGCCACTGTCACATATAAAAAAAACCCCTTCCCCGTCACATTTAGTATATATACTTATATATTTTGAAACTGATATAAGATAGTCCTTCAAACTGACTGATTGTGTTCATTACTGATCGTCATGAACTTCTCTTACGTTGTAAACACAATAGTTAGCGGTCAAGGATACATATTTTCACACCTACTGGCAGGGTATGTCATGTATTACACAATTGTATAGTTTGCCCTACTGGTTGTACCTACTCCTGGTATCTGGGGAATCTTTCGGAGACATTCATAAAAACAGATCCGTTTGTGGAAGTAAACTCATGCCAATAATGGTTATCACCCCCTTCAATTTCTTTTATTGGAGAGGGTGTGTGGGGTTGGGGGGGGGAGGGGGGTGACAACCAATATTGGCATGGGTATATGACATTAACGTATGGCATAGCGTACGATGCATAAACTGGACAAGGAACATTTCGAGACAGTGGAAATGGTGTTCAGTTCTCTGACAATGCTTGAGGATTGAGGCGTGAAAAGGGTTAAGAGTAGACTGTTTTACATATGCGTCATTTTGTTACATTCCAGCTCGTTGGTATAATCTTCGCCATATGCCTCATCCGATACATCGGAGATCCACGAGCAGTTCCGGTGTAAACTGGTCTACGAGGTCAAGCTGGTCATCGTCCTAGTCGCATGTCATGATCACATAATACAGCTGAAGTTTAAGCAGATGCTTCAAATGTGAATGGGATGACATGTGGATCTGGAGATAATTTCAGTGAATTAATTCACTTCGAAATACCAGACACTGAAATTCAAGCGTTATAACTAGGCACTCAAGGTCATCATTTTACTAAATTTGTAAATCATCTGAATCCGGTTTGCCTATAATATTAACTTCCACTACTACTTAAATGCGTACGTGTATGAATAATGTCAGATCGTGTTTAATGATTTTCTTCTTGTTTATGTCAGGGGCATTGTTTTGAAGAACTGAAAGCACATTGACAAGTATGGCATTTAAGTGTATGTATGTGCATGTTCAAGTTCCTATAATTGATATCGTAATGATCATTATAGTGACTAGTTTATTGTGTGTCATCTAGTCTACTGTCACGGATGTTGTTACACCGGCAGTTATCTATCCAGTTTTAAAATATTGCTCAAATTCGTAAATAGGTTTGTATTTTTGGCCTTTGCGACCCAGTATTCGACTATAAGACAGTATCGTACTATATCATTAATCCTTTTATATATCCAGTACAGAATGTATTGTCCCTCACTATTGATACAGCCGTACCATAACGCTCTTTGTTCGTTGTAAAGTTCGTGCCTGTTATTTTGGTATGTTGGTATCGAAACAATGTAAATTTAATATTTTCGAGAATTATTTTTGTCATACTTGCTGTTTGGATTAGCATTATATTTCAAAAGGTGGCCTTAGATAATAATCTTTCTCAGGATATCAGAATAGTTCGGAAAGCCTTTCAGCAGCAATAGGTATCCCGTAAATTGTAATTTTTGAAGGTTTTATGATTTTTTGAACATGCAGCAAAATCTGTTGGACATCTACTATGCAAGTACTGGATAATTGTCTCTTTTATTGGTCAGTTTTCAGCATATTTGTACTGTTACCGTCTGTTTCTGGAAACAATAGTTAAATGAACTTTTGATTATTTGACATGTATGCCGCTCAGGTCTTCTCATAAGAACTCCTAAAACACCAGTCAAGGAATTTGTTTTACTGGTTCCCAGCTGATTTGATGCACAACTGGTCACGGAGCTGACCTGCAGCGTTCGACCTTTAGAGTGCATGTGCATAGGGAGGATATAGGAAATAGGCTAGTGTAGAATATGAATACATGACAATGCACTGAGATTGATGATGTATTAATTGTCTCAAGCAATGTACCTGAAACATGTCTAAATAAGCAAACATGGGTCACTCTTGTTTCATTTCATCGGTTAATATTGTTTTCAGCATAAATAAAACCTTTCCTGGTCTTATATCAAAATAAGAAACCTCTTCATGATGCATTGTCTAATCCATGTCATTATAAAACTCGGAAAACTCGGAAGCAATATACTCCTTTGGTATTTTATACACAGGTCATGAATGCATGCGTGGTTTTTCATCCAACCTTTTCCAACTTCACCCGCTTCAGAGAGATACGTCTTACGGATAAGACATTGACTATAGACTGATAATTGTCTGACACCAAAATAATAGCTGCTGACTTGCTGTTACGGCTTCAATATTCACCCACAATGTCCCCTACACAATGAGTAAGGGGAACTGCTACCATGTCTGTCAGGTTCTGCCAGTACGTGCACTGTGGTGGGAAAATGTTCACTGTAAGGATTAAAGCGCTCACCATAGTGTAGGACACTCATATTTCGGAGCGGCGGGGTAGCTATAACCTGGTGGTTAAAGCGTTCGCTCGTCACACCGAAGACCGGGGTTCGATTCCCCACATGGGTACAATGGGTGTAGCCCATTTCTGGTGTTCCCACCGTGACATTGCTGGAATATTTCTAAAAGCGGCGTAAAACTGAAATCACTCACTCATTCATATTTCGACCACCGCAAAATCAAAGTCATACTATGAATGGATCACTGATGACACCTACCGATAGCATAACACATGAAGTATGTATTGTCTGACAACCTTGTTTTGTAGCTTTGTGAATGGATAATAATACGTAGTGACGTCAACAAATGTTGAAACTGTATGTACATTACACGTGTAATATAACGCACAACTTCTGAACACGAATATTCAAATCGTGTATTTAAGCATCTCTGATTGCTATCGGTGCCTTATTTTCAATACTGAAATCAAATGGTAGGATATTTTGTGGATAAAGGACGGGTTGGAAATAACAGCTAATAATCATAACCACACTATTTGCATGACCAGCAATTCACTCAAGTAAATCACATCCGTTGGTTTTTCTACTTTAACATTGATATTTTGCATACGTGTACACAGGACTATTTACTGTATACTTTAAATGATATTTTCTGCATTATATTTGATAATTATATGAAACTAAACTATTCCTAAACTTAAAAAACATATTTTCTGTATGATATCGGATAATTATATGAAACTAAACTTTTCATACACTTTAAATAGTATTTTCTGCGTTATATCGGGTTATTTATTAAACTAAACTTTTCGAACTAAACTACGAATGCTAATATTACACTTCAGTTTTTTCCAGTATGGGCTCCATATCATTCTGCCATATTGTATTGTACTGACAAACAACAACCCTAAATCAAAAACCACAGAGGTTATTTTTTTGTCAAGAGGGATATGCCATCGGGTGATGAGTTTTCGTGGATTACGGCTTCCATCTTGGTATTCCACAGACCACCAGTCCTCTCTGGTATCCAGCTATGTCAATCCTGCCTGGTACCCATCTATGCCAATACCATCTGGTACCTGCATATGCCACTTTGGTATATCATCAATCCGTCAAGAGGTGCTCTTTATTGCATTAACTTTACAGTATTTGCCGACTTTTTAACCATTTATACTTCTAACATTTTTTTATGTATGTTTTTGACATGAGATTCAGTAATCGTTCCATTATGCCAGGTTACATTTTGGTTACCGTAGGTAATGGCAACACAAACCAATACTGTTAGTTAACCAACCTAAAGATCATAGATAGATTTATTTAGATTCCATGTGCTGTCTGATGTGTTCTGTGTGTGTCCCTGCAAAGTTATAATATACTTCATGGAGACTTGCGAAATATTGGCATATAATCTTAAAATACTATTAGCTTTATATGTATCGTATGATACTGGCTACATCATCTTGAAGTATTTTGCTGTAGGGTTTTCGATGTCTGTTACAAATGTTAGACGGTATAACGGCCTGTATTGTTCTTCAGACTCAATTCCATTTTGGTAAGGATTTTATACATTGTGTGTTTGCTTGCTTTAATAACTGTATATTAGAATAAAGCTTTCATGGAATTAATGTCTATATTATTTGTTGCATATTGATCTCCACTACATTGCTTTACGCAATGGATGGCAATAGGTTCGTAAGGCAACCGACGAAATAAGGATTCCCAACGACTACTTTTTTATGCGCAGCTGTTTGCCTGCATGTGCATACCGTTGGAATGTACACCACCTTAAGGCCAAGACTGACAACATCATGACGGTAAACACTAAGAATATGTTTCAGAGTAAACTTTGTATTGGTTTTACATCAAATCCATATATAGCGTGAAGGGCGAACACTTTAACCATTAAACTATTACATTGCAAAGTCTATGGAACAGTTTTGTTGTTATGTATTTGTTTGTACTCTCAAAGCTCTGTGATGGAGGTCTACGTTTATTATGGAGGTGTATACATTCACAGTGTAGTAGAGGTGAGTAGAAGAGAAATATGACTTCTATGAAGGTACCAAACGTTGCAAGGGAAAGGACTATTATGGACGTCTCTGTCAGATTTGACAAGTTAACTCTGTAACGAATTAAGAGTATACAGCCAGCCAGACATACACACACACTGACACACCGACACACACACCGACATTCCCAGGGGTGTGAGACTGATATAACTTCCGCGTTATACATTCAAACTAAATCTACATGCATGATCTGCTTCTATGCGTATCACATGACATGGGTCAGCGTAACATTTCGTTTTCCCTGTTCGTGTGAGTAAGGCGACATGAGAGGCTCATAAATAATAAAACCTTAGTCAGACAAGCCAACGTACAATTGAGTGAGTAATGATCAGTCCTGTCGCGGGACAATGACACATTACCGGCCGATTGTTTTTGTCAGGCATTACGAAAAGGAATTAGTTTCGGGAATTTATTCCTCGTTGAAATGTAGATGTTTTAGTACTTATGTAATAGGTGTTGATCTGACTCTTACACTTAGGTCAACTTTATATAACAAAGATTTAAGAAGATATAAGTATTATGAAGAATACAGGTAGAAGAAATATTATCCCAAGAGAATTAAGATTTTGTCCATTTTGTAAGAACATTTTAGAAGATGAGGTTAATTTTATGTTTATTTGCCCACAATATAATGATTTAAGAGCAAGATATATGTTAAATTTTGACTGTAAAGATAGAACTTCCAAATGAAAACAACACTTATTCATATATGTATGCAAAATATATTAAGGAAGCTTTTATGCGACGTAGCGCATTATTATTGTGAATATATAAAAATATGTTCTACTTATTGTGCACATCATTCCTTTTGCATTGTATTATGCATTGTACATGGGCCTGTGGCCTTTCTACTAAATACAGTTATATTATATACACTAGGTATGACTTGAACGTTTCAGTGCCAGTGCGATGTACACAAGCAGGACTGGCAATAATTCGTGTCAACATCCGATACAAATCTTACGACACACTTGCGGTTGTGGAAAACAATACTGTATTTAGTTACAATTATTATTTATTGTTCAAGCACTCATTGAGTGGATATATTCTTACAGTTCTAAACATACCTATACAATGGGGACTCAAACAGCAAATTGAGATTGTATAGTACATGGAGAGTGTTCAGCATATAAGTATGAAGTATGGCTTTTAGCAATATTCCAGCAATATCACGGCAGGGGACACTAGAAATGGGTTTCACATATTGTACCCTTGTGGGGAATCGAACCCTGGTCTTCGGTGTGACGAGCGGACGCTATAACCACTAGGCTACCCTACCGCCCCTAGCAACATGAAGAGTGTGTACAGCAGGAAGAATGTGGTACATACTAGTATGTGAAGAAGCGTAGTACATGGCGTGTCTGGAACAGATGTACAGTATAATGTACATGGGTATTTTTAACCAAATGGAGAGTGCAATGCAGATGGTGGGGTAGAAAACATGAAGAGTGTAAGGCAGATGATGATTGCATAATGCACAGTGCAGTGGCAGGGGAAAGATATTCAATGTAGGGGAATGTATAGTGTTCGGGAATATACAGTGTAGGGGAATGCGCAGTGTGTGGGAATGCACAATGTTGGGGAATGTAAAGTGTAGGGGAATGCACAAAGTAGGGGAATGTAAAGTGTAGGGGAATGCCAAAAGTAGGGAAATGTAAAGTGTAGGCGAATGCATAGTGTTGGGAAATGCACAAAGTAGGGAAATATAAAGTGTTGGGGAATGTACAGTGTTGGGGAATGTTCAGTGTTGGGAATGTACAGTGTAGGCGAATGTAAAGTGAAGGGGAATGCACAAAGTAGGGAAATATAAAGTGTTGGGTAATGTACAGTGTTGGGAAATGTTCAGTGTTGGGACTGTACAGTGTGAGGGAATGTACAGTATACCGGAATGTACAGTGATGGTGGATTTAAGTGTAGATGAATGTGCACTGTACGGGAATATACAGTGTTGGGGAAGGTACAGTTTTGGGAATGTTCAGTGTTGGGAATGTACAGTGTTGGGGAATATAGAGTCTAGGGGAATGTGCAGTGTTGGGGAATGTACAGTTTTAGGGATTGTACAGTGTTGGGGAATATACAGTCTAGGGGAATGTGCAGTGTTGGGGAATGTACAGTCGTGGGGAATGTGCAGTGTTGGGGAATATACAGTCTGGGGGAATGTACAGTGTTGGGGAATGTACAGTCTGGGGGAATGTACAGTCTGGGAGAATGTAGAGTGTTGGGAAATGTACAGTCTACAGTATTGTACATGTTCAGTTTTGGGGAATATAGAGTCTAGGGGAATGTGCAGTGTTGAGGAATGTACAGTTTTAGGGAATGTACAGTGTTGGGGAATATACAGTCTGGGGGAATGTGCAGTGTTGGGGAATGTACAGTCGTGGGGAATGTTCTGTGTTGGGGAATATACAGTCTGGGGGAATGTACAGTATTGGAGAATGTACAGTGTTGGGAAATGTACAGTCTAGGGGAATGTACAGTTTTGCAAATGTTCAGTGTTGGGGAATATACAGTCTGGGGGAATGTACAGTGTTGGGAAATGTACAGTCTGGGGGAATGTACAGTGTTGGGGAATATACAGCCTAGGGGAATGTACAGTGTTGGGGAATATCCAGTCTAGGGGAATGTGCAGTGTTGGGGAATGTACAATTTAGTGAGATTACACAATGTTGGGGAATGTACAGTGTTGGGGAATGTTCTGTGTTAGAGGGAATGTTCAGTGTTTGGGTATATACTGTCACGGAAATGTACATTGTTTTGGAATGTTCAGTGTTGTTGGAATTTTCAGTGTTAGGGAATATTCAGTGTTAGGAATATATACAGTGTCTAGGGAATGTACAGTCTAGGGGAATGTTCAGTGTTGAGGAAACTACAATATAGGGGAATGTACAATGTTAGGGGGAATATGCAGTCTAGGGAATCTACAGTGTTGGGAAGGTACAGTGTTGGGCAATGTTCAGTGTTAGGGAACTATACTGTCTAGGGAAATGTATACAGTGTTTGGGAATATACAGTCCTGGGAATGTTCTGTGTTAAGGGAATATACAGTCTAAGGGAATGTTCAGTGTTAGGGGAAAGGGGTACAGTGTTAGGGGAATATACTGTCTAGGGGAAATGTACAGTGTTTGAGGAATATACAGTGTCAGGAGAATGTTCAGTGTTAGGGAATATACAATCTAGGAGATGTTTCCAATGTTGGGAAATATTCAGTCTAAGGGAATCTACAGTGTTTAGGAAGGTACAGTGTTGGGAATGTTCAGTGTTGGGGTATATGCAGTCTAGGGGAATGTTCAGTGTTGAGAATATGCAGTCTAGAGAGAATGTACAGTGTTGGGAATATACTGTCTAGGGGAAATGTACAGTGTTGGGGAATATACTGTCTACAGGAATGTTCAGTGTTGGGGAATATACAATTTAGTGAAGTGCACAATGTGTTAGGGGGAATGCACAGTGTTAGGGAATGTTCTGTGTTGGGGAATGTTCAGTGTTTTGGGTATATGTCACTATACAGGGATATGTATGTGTTTGGAATGTTCAGTGTTATTGGAATTTTTCAGTGTTCAGGGAATATTCAGTGTTAGGGAATATACTGTCTAAAGGGGAAATGCTTCTGATCCTAGAGGGGAGATATTCAGTGTTAGGGGAAACTACAATATAGAGGAGATGTTCAATGTTAAGGGAATATGCAGTCTAGGGAATCTACAGTGTTAGGGGAGGTACAGTGTGTTGGGCAATGTTCAGTGTTAGGAACTATACTGTCTAGAGGAAATGTACAGTGTTGGGAATATATACAATTACAAGGAATGTTCAGTGTTAGGGAATATACAGTCCTAGCGGAATGTTCAATGTTAAGAATATACTATCTAGGGAAATGTACAGTGTTTGGGAATATACAGTGTCGGAGAATGTCCAGTGTTGGGGAATGTACAATCTAGGGGAATGTTCAATGTTAGGGAATATGCAGTCTAGGGAATCCTACAGTGTTGGGGAGAGGTACGGTGTTGGGGAATGTTCAGTGTTGGGGGAATTATGCGGTATGGGGAATGTACGGTGTTGGGGAATATTATGCGGTCTAGGGAATGTTCGGTGTTGGGAAGAGTACGGTGTTGGGAATATTATACTGTCTAGAAATGTACAGTGTTTGGGAATATACGGTGTCGGAGGAGGATATTCCAGTGTTGGGAATGATATACAATCTGGGGGAATGTTCAGTATTTGGGGAATATGCGGTCTAGGGAAGTGTACGGTGTTTGGGGATGTACGGTTCAGGGGAATGTTCAATGTTGGGCTCTAATCAGTCCTAGAGAAAATATTCAGTGTTTAGAAATATGTAGTGTCTGAGAATGTCCAGTGTTGGGGAGGAATATACAATCTAGGGGAATGTTCAATGTTGGGAATATACAGTCCTAGGGAAATGAACACAGTGTTTTGGGATATACAGTTCAGGGAGATGTTCGATGTTAGGGGAATAATACAGTCTAGGGAAATGTACAGTGTTTAGGAGAATATACAGTTCAGAGATGTGAGTGTTAGGGGAATATACAATCTAGGGGAATGTTCAATGTTGGGGAATATTCAGTCTAGGGAATGTACAGTGTTAGGGAGATATACATTGTTTGGGAATATACAGTCTTGGGAAATGTACAGTGTTAAGAATGTACAGTGTGGGAACATACACTTGAGGGGAATGTTCAATGTTGGGAATATGCAGTCCTAAGAATGTACAGTGTTTGGGGATATACAGTTCAGGGGAATGTTCAATGTTGGGGGAATATGCAGTCTAGGAAATGTCTTACAGGTGTTGGGGAATATACGGTCCTAAGGGGAATATACAGTTCAAGAGATGTTCAGTATTTGGGGAATATGCAGTCTAGAGAATGTACAGTGTTTTGGGGATACCCCAGTTCAGGGGAATGTTCAATGATGTTGGGAATATGCAGTCTAAGAAATTGTACACAGTGTTTAGAGATATACAGTTCAGGGAATGTTCAATGTTGGGGAATATACTGATCTAGAGAATGTATTGTGTTTGGGAGGAATATACAGTTCAGGAATGTTCAGTGTTGGGGGAGATATACAATCTAGGAGATGTTCAATGTTGCAGGAAATATTCAGTCTAGGGGAATCTACAGTGTTAGGAGGAATTTTGGTGGTAGGCAGTATTCAGTGTTAGGAATATGCAGTCTAGAATGTACAGTGTTGGGGAATATGCAGTCTAGGGAATGTACAGTGTTGGGAATGATATACAGTCCTAGAGATGATGTTCAGTGTTGGGGAATGTTCAGTGTTGGGAATATGCAGTCTAGAATGTACAGTGTTTGGGAATATACAGTCCTAGGGAATGTTCAGTGTTAGGAAGGTACAGTGTTAGAATATACTGTCTAGAGTATAAAGTGTTTGGGAATATACAGTGTCGGAGGATGTTCAGTGTTGGGAATATACAATATAGGGGAATGTTCAATGTTGGAATATGCAGTCTAGAAATGTACAGTGTTGGGAATATACAGTTCAAGGAGATGTTCAGTGTTAGAATATGCAGTCTAGAGAATGTACAGTGTTGGGAATATACAGTCAGGGAATGTTCAGTTTTTTAGAATATACTGTCTAGAAATGTACAATGTTGGGGAATGTTCAGTGTTGGGAATGTACAGTGGGAAACAATGCTATAATGGCACGTGTCCTCCTACTGGATCTGCTCATATATGGCCTCATTATGCGCATTATCGCCATGTTAGTGGTCACTTGCTGATAGTCGTTTGTTGCTTTGGATCGTGAAGTCGTTGACCCTGAGACCTCAAATGTCTGCATGTGTAGTTATGGCATGACGTTCATGGCGCGGCAAAATCCGTGGTGGTGTGGTGCTGGCGGAATCACCCTGTGCCACCACCCTGGCATGGGACAAGTACTGTCTCCGCTGTCTAAAATGGTCTCACCAGGACCATCTTAGCAGCAGCTTCCTGGACAGAGATACAATATGAGGCAAGTCACTGCATCAGTATGTATGTATGACAGTGTATGTATGTATGGGGATGTATGTATGTATGTATGGCAACTAATATTATGTAAACCGTAGTATGTAGTGTCTTGTCGATGTATGTAGTGTATGTATTGTATGAGATGTATGTATGTATGTATGTGTACTGTATGTATGTATGTATGTATGTGTGTGTGTGTGTGTGTGTGTGTGTATCGATATCAGTACATGTGCTGTATGAGCGCAATCTAATTTGATTGTGGATATATCTTCACATCCAGACATCGTATTTACCATATCAGATTCTCAAGAGGCATACAACTGTTGCACCTATGTATTATAGCGCTTTAAAATGGCTTTTATATCCTTACGATGTACCCAATCACTTCTGGGTACTCTGGGACCTCACTGAAAGAGTCTGCACAGAAAGTACAATCCAACTCTGTTATCTGTAATAAAAGATATCACACGATCAGTCGTTTCCAAGCTAACTAGATAACTTTACTGGCGCAGCAGACAGCTCGCCCTGCCCCAAGCCCAGTTTCATGGGATTTTATTGTCCTGCATGTTAATGTATAACGCAGAATAATACCTGATGACAACGCCAGTTAGACAACATATGATTCCGACAGGAACAACTGTAAACGCAATCACAATCCAGGGGCTCGTGTTTGCTCCTGAAACAGAAAACATGCGCACTTCATACGTATATGCATGAGTTTCTTCTTGTAATGTTGGACAGGGTACCGTTGTACAAAGCGATCTTAGCGCTAAGGAATCGTAACTCCCATACCTTAACATAGTCTTACGACCGACTTAGCGCTAAGGTTGTTTTGTACAACGGCACCCTGATTTATAAATGTTACGTAAAAGTATTGTCACGTTAACTTACGTTGGCAATAGGGACCTGACCACCCGTTCCTGCATCCGTCAACACATACTACAGTGAACCCATCAATGGTCAGCATACAGTCCGAGTTGAGGCAGTGGTCGCTGCAGCTGCTGTTACAGAAGGAGCCATAGAGAGATGGTTTGCATCCAACACTGCATTCTCCCGTCTCTCTGTCACATGGGAATCTGCAACCGTTGGCGCATTTTCGGTCACATTGTATCCAAAACCAGCCTCTTCGACAGCCGTGGTTACACCATCCCGAGTCCATCAAACAGGTATCAGCCGACAGTCTTCTACAATTCCTGTTGCACTTTTTGTCACAATATGGCCCGTGCATTCCATTCTTGCATCCACGCGAACATGTACCATTTGTTTTGTGACAGAGTCCTTTCCTGCAGTTCTTGCATTGAAACTGGCATGAGTTACCAAAATATCCAGATGTACAGGACTTGCAGTCATTTCCGACTTGCTGACACGTTCTGCATTTTAAGTCACATGTCTGATCGCATCTGCTACCTCGATACCCATCAGGACAAGACTTACAGGTGCCATCAGCTTTGCAGGAACGGGACTCACACGTGTCAGGACACGTCTCTTCACAGGTGTCTCCGAACAAGCCCTCGAGACACCCAGCAGCACACGATCCATTTACGCTGCAAAGTCCTTTTGAACATCGACCTCGACAGCTCAGGCTGCATGTTTGTCCGTACCATCCGATAAAACACTTTGAGTCAGAATCGTCCACGCAGTTCAGACACTGTTGGTCGCATTTGTCTCCTACCCAACCAGCCGCACAGCCCAAATGACACATGCCTTCAGAATTACATGTGTTATTTTTGCAGCTGACTGGACACTTTTGCTTGCATTGCCCACCGTAATAACCATTATTACAAACACAGTCTTGCCCTTCCACATCCACACAGGAGGCACAGTGCTCACAAGGTATGTCACACTTCGTACCGTAACGATTAGACTTACAACCATTGATACATTCACCGGTCCATCTGTTACAGAATGAATTGTTGCATCCATCACTACAATCTTGTCCACAGTAAAGCCCTCTTTTCCCCTTACCACAAACACCCTCACAGTACATGCTATATATGGAGTTCTTTGTTTGTGTCTTTGGTGGTTTTGAACAAGGCACACATGTACCGTCATCAGAGAGGTAGGTGCCTCCACGGCATGAAGGCTGGGCTGTGAATAACATAGAGACAAAATATGGATAACACATACATATTCCGATCTGGACCAAAACATACGCACGCACATAACATTTGGTCTTCTGTAGAGCATAACACGCACTGACGCATGCACGAACGCACGCACGCACTCACGAACTCACACACATAAAAGATCGCACACACGCATATATCCACATATGAAAGCGTTGAATAATTTCCACAGATTATATGCTCAAGTATTCTGTTATTGCCCATGTACCAATGATAGCAGTGAAAACAGAAATAAGGAATCTAAAGCGACTCATGCACGGACGCGCTTGTTCACCGATTCACATTACCTCAGACGCGAGCACGCTGAGACTTTACATAAGCCAAACCTTCATTATAAACTAATAATAGCAAGCACTACAAGTATGTTATTACGAAACATAGACAGACGGTTATATTTATGCAGGTTATATATGACTGTCAGATAGGCATGGTACGTACATGTTCTGACGTAACCATACTTTACACCTGTCATCGTCCCATTCTGCAAAGCTGCAAATACATCTACACTGTATATGTGATTTGCAGTCTATCCCATCTCTCTCTCTGTCTCTCTCTCTCTCTGTCTCTCTCTCTCTCTGCCTCTCTCTCTCTCTCAGAAACACACCATACCTACATTAAATAATGTGTGTGATAGGCAATTAAGATTTTTCTGCTACATAACTCCTAATATTTAATAATAATAATAATAATAATAATGTGTCCATTTATATAGCGCCAAACTCCACACTAGGTATGCTCATAGCGCTAACAATCAAGGCCATTATTACCCCGGATAACCCAAGCTGCCTGTTAGGCGCTAGAAGGTTATAGTCATATGACTTTTTTTCCACCGGGTACCCATTTTCCTGCTGGGTGAACAGAGACAATTTTGAACAAACTCACTTGCCTAAGGTGAGACCACATGTGTCACATGTGCTTCGTTGTGGGGCAGGACTCAAGTCCTAGAAACTCTCAGGAGTCAAGCTGCCAAACACGGTCACCCATCCAAGGACTCTCCGAGCTCGACGCTGCTTAACTTCACCGATTTGTGACCTGAGCTTGAAGCCCAGGACCACGCGCCACCACTATATTTAACTAACTGAGTTTGGTTTTATGCCGCTTTTAGCAATATTCCAGCAACATCACGGCGGGGGACACCAGAAATGGGCTTCACACATTGTACCCATCTGGGGATTCGAACCCGGGTCTTCGGCGTGACGAGCCAACGCTTTAACCACTAGGCTACCCCACCGCCCCTTAATATTTAACACATATTGGAGATAAAATGAGCAATCATTATTCTCTTTTATGCTCACAAAATATTTTTTTGCACTTACCACAACTCCTCTGTACGACAGTTACAACACATATGATCATTATGCCTTTATGTCCGACTGCCAACGTAGCCATTGTACTGCTGCACTGGAAGCAGGGCTAGATTTGAGTACTCTACTCTAGCAGTTTCAACGTTCAATGTACAAAGTACTTTGCTACTAACATTCTATTTATATGCATCATATTTATTTTCGATCGCATTACAACATGTGAAAACATCAAAACAAAAATCTCGCTAGCGTTCATAACCTTCGCCTTATTTAGAAAAAAAAGGCTCGTTCTGCTTCCTTGTTTCGCTTGACCGTTGGGTTACACCGGCTATAAATGTAGTTTTGCGTGTAAAGAATGTCTGGAAAGGTGACCTTGCAAGAGTTACGAGTCACGTCGAAACCTCAAACCGGAAAGTCATTTCTAAAGAAATCGTTCCTTCAGATATATATGTTTTTCTCGAGGAAAAATATATTGTACATAAGGACGAAAGCGCGAAGAAGCTTTCATGGAAAAATGAAACTAAACTAACTGCATATTGCCGGGTAAAGAACAGTTTTCACCAATGTTGTATGTTTCATGCTATTCGATGTGAGGTGAGGTGAGGTGAAATTGGGTTTAACGTCGTGCTTGAGAATATTTCGCTCATATGACGACGTGCAGGCGTGTGTATGTGTATGTGCGGCCGCTTGTACTAGCCCAGACTTAAGCTGGTTTTATAGTGCTAGCCCACTGAGATACCATGCCGCAGTGAAGCATGAATACCCCACTCAGACACATTATACTGACTCCGAGCCGACCAGTCCTTGTTGTACCCATTAATGCCGAGCGCCAGGCAGGGACCAACAATTACCATATTTTAACGTCTTTTGGTATGACGCGGTCGGGGATCGAACCCGCGGCTATTCGATGTGATATAGTTGATGTAGGTATTAAACTATAAGTACATCATATCAATTAGTGTATTAATATAGACAAGTCAGCTTATTAACGTTTCGAGGACGTTTTGCAACAGGGCGTTTTACATCCGTTTCTCCAACACTGTGAAGGTCCGGGTTAGAATGTGCCTTCAGTAACCCATGCTTGTCGTAAGAGGCGACTAAGAGGATCAGGTGGTCAGGCTCGCTGACTTGGTCGACACATGTCATCGGTTCCCAATTGCGTAGATCGATGCTCATGCTGTTGATCACTGTATTGTCTGGTCCAGACTCGATTATTTACAGACCGCCGCCATATAGCTGGAATATTGCTGAGTGTGGCGCAAAACTCAACTCATTCACTCACTCCAACACTGTAGCCTACAAACAGGATGTGATACATACTTTTCTCCAACACTGTAGTCTGCATACAGGAAGTATTACATACTCCCAAATAACCTCTCTGCACACATGTTCAATCATATTTCCTCCGTACGATATATTAGTGAGAAAGTAAAGATTATGCCTCCCCATTCACCAATATATATCAGCTTTATTAATGTAAGCGGAAATCAAGACTTTAAGTCACTTCCTGGATAAATGTACATTGCGATACACATATTGGACAAACAAGTTTATTCCTGATAAAATGTATTAATTATACACAAAGAATTTAGAATTTGTCTTTAGCAACCCTTGCTTGTGGTAATGGGCGACTAATTGGATCGGGAGGTAGGGCTAATCTGAGAGGACAGATATGGCTCGTCATTGGCTGACGTAGGATGCTTCTGTAGAGTATTGGGAATAACTGCAAGTCTAGAACACACATACTACAAATATCTAATCTGAGAGAACAGTATAGTTTGGCTCGTCATTGGCAGATGTATGACGCTTCTGTGGAATATTGGGAATAACTGCTAGTCTAGAACACACATATTACAAATATCTAATCTGAGAGAACGGTATAGTTTGGCTCGTCATTGGCTGACGTATGACGCTTCTGTGGAGTATTGGTAATAACTGCTTGTCTAGAACACTCATACTATAAATATCTTATCTGAGAGACCGGTATAGTATGACTCGTCATTGGCTGCACCAGGAAGTCCTCGTGGATTATCGGGAATAACTGCTAGTCTAGAATACACATACTTCAAATATCTAATCTGAAACTGCAGTATAGTGTGGCTCATCATTGGCTGCAGTAGGATGCTCCTGTGGAGTATCGGGAATAACTGCATAGTGCTCTTCATCTGTAGACACTCCATGAGCTTGTTGTGGGTCAACCGGTATAACTGCATCGTGTGGATCATTCATGTCCGCACTGTGATGGTGCTCTTTCGTATCAGGGATGACTGCATAGTACGGTTCCTCTCTCCCATCCAAATGTTCGGTCATCACTGCTTGATGGTGAACTGAATATTGGTCGATGGCATTGAGGTAAAGTGACCCATTAATCCACTGCCTATACCTGAAACGTTGAGATGATGTCAGAAGGATTACTTGGCGTGTCATCACGTTAGGAATTAGAATGATAGATAAGGCATATGTGATATCAACCGGTGTGAGGAGTACATGTTTTGTCCACCATACTCCTTCCTTCCTAGCTCCATAAATGTTACATAAGCATTGAATACGGCACCCCGTTCTTACTTAGCGTCATGTTCAACATAGTCAGTGGTCATAATCAGTCTCAGGAAACATACCTTTTGAATACACAAATGAACGTCAGTATGAAAACAACGACTCCCAAAAGTACAGGGACAACTACCATAATCCGTGTTGAAACGCTGGGTTCTGGAAATAAGAATTAAGAAGTAAGAGGTATGTTTAATGCAATCATACATTTAACATACACAGTTAGCTGACTGGCTTAATGACTGAGTTTGGTTTTAAGCCTCTTTTACCAATATTCCAGCAACATCACGGCGGGGAACACCAGAAATGGGCTTCACACATTGTACCCATGTGGGGATTCGAACCCGGGTCTTCGGCGTGACGAGCCAACGCTTTAACCACTAGGCTACCCCACCGGCCATACACAGTTAGAGTAAACTGCAGTACATATATCATGTAAATGAATATGCCACAGCACCATCCACCCTCTTACACAATCAATGAACGATTTATATTATTTAGTTTTGTACATGTTTATATAAGTATTAAGTGTGTGGATGCATAAAGGGCAGTATTGCACACAACTAACATCTCATTCGGAATGAGTGCTACACATGATCAAGCCGTCAGAATGAACGTATGGATTGATACTTTATGTGTTCATACTCTTGATATGATTAAAATGATATCACTCAGTGCAGGAAGAACACAGTTTGCCTTGGTTCCACGTTCTTCTACTCTGCACGTAAAATACTTTTGTTTCTACCTACCTGTGCAAGAATCACCGCTCCATCCTGCAATACACGAAATACACAATCCACTCATCCTTTCGCATTTTCTACAATGTTCAGGACACTGGTATGAACAGTCATCCCTGTAAAGTCCGTCTCTACATCCTTCAGTGCAAGTTCCGTTGTTCTCACACAGTGTGTTCTCACAACCCAGGCTGCAGTTCAGAGAACATGAAGAACCGTACCATCCACTCTTGCATGTAGCACACACACCTGTTGATCTGTTACAGGATCGGCAGTTGTGGGAGCATGTGTTCACACATCGAACCCCAACGTCCATCAGAACAATCCAAACTACATGTCACATAATCCAAGTCCCCCTCAACAGTGTGACACATATGGTGGGGACAGGTAGCATTGCATGTGTTCTCGCAATATTTTCCATAAACAGTTGATTTACAGCCACCAAGACACAGCGCGGTAGCCTGGTCACATTCCCCCTCCACACAGCCTCCACTACACGTTAGGTCACAGGACTCTCCATGGTAGCCTTTTCTACAACCCCGAACACAAGCGCCCGATTGTTGAGAACACTCATCATCCTTACAGATTGGGCTGCATTTGGACTCACATCGACTTCCACGGAACCCAAGTGAACAGTTCAAACAAAATCCCCACATGTGACACATTCCCTGGTAGCAGTTTTCGGGGCACTGTTGGTCACACATGGCTCCATAGTATCCATCTTTGCATTGACATTTCCCGTCAATGCTGCAAATGTTGTCGAGACACCCTTCTGCACACCTCAGAAAGCAAGCATCACCGTACCACCCTTGCTGGCATTCACTACATCGCCCTGTGAACTGCTGGCAAGCTGTACAATTGAGGTTGAAGCATCTCTCATGGCATAAATCACTCTTATGATTAGGGACACATGGTTTGCATATTCCTGTCTGGTCATTGCATTGTACGTCTCCGCAATACTGGGAACACGTTTGTGTACATTTGGGGCCATAGTATCCTGCCTTACACCCATCACAACTGCCGTCCTTTTGATCACAGTGACCTTTCAGACAGTTACCACTACATTCCCCTCCACAGTCGTCACCAAAAGATCCTGGCGTACATCCCAGTGTACAACGTCCACTGCGGCCATTACAGGCTTGGTTCACACATCTGTTGCTGCATCTGTGCTGGCATTTCGGACCCCACCACGTGTTGTCACATTCAAAGGAACACGTGTAATGGTTACATGACACACTGTGACAGTGTTGGCATTTACCACGGCAGTGTCCGTCTACGAGACATTCTTGATTGCAGTGTTTACCGTGTAACCCATTCCTGCACTTTCCCAAGCCACAGACTAGTGAACACGAATCACCTCCTGGAAATATATAATGAAAATAATTTTTTTTAATAATTTATTTTGACGATTTTCTACTGATCGTATTGTCTCAATGGTTAAGAAGCTGCATGAACCTGCTGCAGCAATATAAAGATAAAGGTTGTCGAAGTAGAGTGCAATACACAGAGGATGTTTCCCGTCTCATGAAATAGCATGCTTCTCTATTCGATTGATCATGATATGGGAGAAGAGGTTTGTTCACGAGTGGCGTAAATATGAATGTGACACCTGACAGAAAACATTTGCAAATTGGATTTGACTTAGTCTAATAACCCAAAAGGAATAACTAGAGTTTTTCGGCATTTGGAAGGGGTATATACATGAACATAGAGGAATTTCTGGGTTTCATCTTGTTTTTATTGTTTGGTACAACGTTTCAGGGCTTGTTCTGGCCCCATCATCAGGTAGAACTAGAGAACAGTAACTTTTATAAATTATATGTACATGTACATGTACTTATGGCAATAAATATTTTATATGAATAACAACTTAGCAAAAGTATCTTCACGGCGTTGCAGGATACGTCTTGCACCTTTAATACTCGATGCTCTTAAAACTTTAGGCAGACTGACGTGATGTAATTACAGTAGATTATAACTTCTTATCCATTGCATGTGTTATCCACAAGTTGTGGGGGCGGTGGGCTAGCCTAGTGGTTAAGGTGTTCCCTCGTCATTTTGAACACCCGGTTTCAATTCCACACATGGGTACAATGCGTAACGCCCAGTTCTGGTGTCCTCCACCGTGATATTGCTATAATATTACTATAAAAGCGGCGTACAACTAAACTCACTCACTCACTAGCAATCCTTACCACATAAATATGTTGTTTACGGACACTGTAAAAGTGTGCACAAAATATCGCATAGTCTCTCCCCTGTGGAGGATGATTAAAATTGTCTTCCTAATCTCCAAGGCCAAGAAGGTATATAGATTAGTACCTTTATGGCCTGGGTCTTCTATTTCCCCGTTAATTGAAATTAGATGCCCCTAAAAGGGTGAGTATATCTAACGGTACCTCCGTCAGTTAGGGTCATAGGAACTTAATAGACGGTCTTAGAAACATTTTAGGACAGACCCAGGACAAACGGAAATGATCCTGTCACGTGACAAACGTACATCTGTAACTACGATGAACGAGACCTTTAGGAGTTTCTGACGTGATCATATCAGAAATATCATTACGCTAATTATTTATGGCTAATATCAATTTCCTTGGGAAAGTCCTGGACTTTCAAGGCTCAGATGAATAATGATACATAACTGTGGAAACACTGAGCTCATTTGACTTCCTCCAGGAATACTTCCGTGTAGGTCAATGAGATGAACTTGAATAAGAAGCGTCAATGCCAGGAAATAATCAGTCACGATAATCTGCGTAGACATTGGGAGGATACGAACAGTATATATAGCTGAAGATCCGTTATTACTACGGGCGTCTTGCGGTAACAGTTAGCATCTGGGATTTATACTATTTACATGCAGAAGGTTAGTTATCAAAGGCATTAAAAGCACAAACCACTGACTTCCCCTTAAGACACTGTCTGGGAAAGGTATTGTACAAGTGATGTAGAACTACCACAGCATCCGCTCATAACGTAAAATATTCGTTCAATAGAATCGTACTTTAGAATCAGTACGGTAGTAGCCGTATTTTGAAGAATGTTGCTTTTCGAAACGAGTCCTCCCTTAAGCCTAATACAATGTGTATTTTACTGAGGAAAGTAAACAAAACGCTCTTTTCCCAGATTGGTCTTCATAGCATTGGCATAGTGATATTAGGGTTAGTAGCATTACACTCTTGGTGGTTGACAATGGTCACCATTGAAATGGATTGTCATATGATACTCAATGTTTGTGAATAGTGAGTGAGTTTAGTTTTACGCCGCACTCAGCAATATTCTAGCCATATGGTGGCGGTCTGTAAATAATCGAGTATGGACCAGACAATCCAGTGATCAACAGCATGAGCATCGATCTGCGCAACTGGGAACCAATGATATATGTCAACCAAGTCAGCGAGCCTAACCATTCGATCCCGTTAGTCGCCTCTTACGGCAAGCATGGGTAACTGAAGATCAACTCTAACCCGGACCTTCATGGGTGTTTGTGAATAGACCGTATTACTTACTGTAGATGCAAAGGGCGACAAAAGCAGTGATGGCGCAATAACGTCTGAAGCCCATGCTGATCAAACAGTCCGGTATAATTCTGAAACCTAATGACTGGATCGGTTACACAACAGTATTGTCAGTGATGTTTCCATTTCCCAAAGTGAAGGACCCAGTACCCAATGTGTCCTTTTATGGATGTGCAAGTATCATATTCCTCTTGGTGACTATTGGTACATCGTATCAGTCCTTAGCTATTTAAAATATTTGCAGCTTGTGTAATGAGGTGAGGTGAGGTGAAATTGGGTTTAACGAGGTGCATAGAATATTACGTTCATATGACGACGTGCATGCGTGTGTATGTGTATGTACGGCTGCTTGTACTACCCCAGACTTAAGCTGGTTTTATAGTGCCAGCCCACTGAGACACCATGCCGCAGTGAAGCATGAATACTCCACTCAGACACATTATACTGACTCCGAGCCGACCAGTCCTTGTTGTACCCATTAATGCCGAGCGCCAGGCAGGGACCAACAAGTATCATATTTTAACGTCTTTTGGTATGACGCGGTCGGGGATCGAACCCGCGATCTTCCGCTCTCCGGGCGGACGCTCTAACCACTACACCACGGTCCTTGTGTAATGAGCTTACACGTAACTCATGCACTGCATCATGGTCCCGTTCGTGACATGATTTCAGCTTGATATATATGACGAGAGGAAATTCTAGTATTATATACACATGTAAAAAGTATAATAACTGCAATACCTGAAAGTATGATTTTAACCCTCATTTGGCCATTTATTTTCATCCCATGATTAAGTTTGTTTGTATGATTATAATGACACTTCAGGCACACCATACACTGATTTTAGATATGCATAAGTAACGACCATGCGATTGATTATTGTTAAATAAGCCAATACGGGAGTCCTCAACTGAAAAACGGCCCAGTGATGGCAAATTAGTGGTATAAAGAATGCTGGCAAGTCACAGATGGCCATTGACAAGAAAATATCAGCACTCGAAGAACGATAAAGACCGTCAACTCCTTGGGAGGATACGGTCCATCTCAGACAAATAAGACCTCTTTCTTTCATGTAAACTGGTGGGTTAAAACAGAATGGCTTCCACTCTTGCCTAATATAGAACCAGGCGACATATCACACGTCACTGGAATTTGAGGAGATAGGAAAGGTTCCACTGCTCGGTCGAAAATGTTTTCTCATGATCGATGGCCAAACTCGAGTTTGGCGTCACAGAAACACTGCATATGTCTTGTATCAAGCGTCGTTTGGTGGGAGTTCATTGGAGGTGTGGGGTCGCCTTTCACATGACTGTAAACCAGACCTTGTGGCGATCAGACAAAATCTAAATGGACAACGCTACATCACTGACATCCTAGACAGGTTTGTTGTATCACATTTCGATGGTCATCCTCTTACCACAAGACCAGGTTTCATGGACATCACGAGTCGCAGAATCGCCAGTAAAGGCCTTTTATCAAGAACGGAACGCAAAACGTCAAATTCAGCAGTCAAATTCTGATACAGTCAATGCAGAGGAATTATAGAGATGTAATTACAATTGGCGGTGATTAACTAGATATTGACATTGTGTTAGTTTACTTTTCTGATTGTATGAATCTTGAAATTGACCGCACTATGAATACGTCAGGCGACTATACTTATCAGCATTTGACAATGAGTAAATGTTTTCCATGTTTACTTCTCTGAAAAAACTGCAGGATTTCGCACTCTTCGTTTGGATTTGTCACTTTTAATACTTTTACTTGAGGGTCAGTTCATCCAGAAAGAAAGTTAGATAAGGGTTTGGACGAGTTCCATGGTTGTGATTAATGGGGAAGTATACTCTTCAAAAAAAGAAGAAACTTGACATGCTGTTTTGGAGTTTACTGACTGCGTGCATATAACTGATTCAAACATGACATCATTGCTGACTTACAGTAAAATCATCACTTTATAAATTTCCAAAACAAGATTATCTAGAAAGTGTTCCGTAAAAGCAAAGATGGCTATTAAAGCCACTTGGTCAGAGTAAAATGTCAGTATCTGGTGTGACCACCCTGAGCATCGATAACAGTTTGGCAGCGGTGAAGAAGGAAAGGTGCGAATGCTGTCTTGAGGAGTGTTTTGATACTCTTGCTGAAGTGCTGTGTGCAGTTCTTGAAGTGTTTCAGGTGGCAGATTACGCTAGCGCCAGCGTCGATCAAGAGTACCCCATAGATGTTCAATGGGGGACAAATCCTGTGATCGAGAAGGCCAAGGTAACACCTGAACATTGTTTTGCTGTTCCTGTCAAACACGTGCAAAGTGAAGTCCAACATTGTCATGCTGCAAAGATCAACTGTTGACGTTGATGAAGGGAAGGACGTGATGTTGAACTGGATTTCTGGCAAAACGTCTGGCTTCCAATAGCCAATTGCGCACTGTCTGGTCGGAGATTCGACGTAGTCCTGCGATTTGGATTGTTGTGGATGATGCGGCCGTGGTGTTTGAACGAAGATGTCACAACCGGATGTAGCGATCCAGGGCGGCGGTGGTAACTCTACGTCGACCTGGCCTTGGTCTGTCATTAACACTCCCAGTATTGTTGTATTGGGTCCATAGGTTTGAGATGGTGTGCCTGGATACGCTGAAGTGCCTTGCCACCTCATGCTGCGATGCCCGTTCTTTGTAAACGGCCGATGGCATTATGTCGTTGAGCGTCTTGATTCTCTTGTTTGTCTATAGTGGCTTAAAGCATGTGGAGTACAATTGATATGGCTATTTAAAGCCTTCAGCCATAGGCTTCAGCTCAGGGTGATACACAATTTCAAGATGCACGTGTATTTTATGTAGGGTGCATTTTAGCGATTCACCACAGACATGAGTGTAACGTTAGGTTTTGTTCAACGTTTCTTTTGCAAACGTTTTTTGTCGTCGGCAACCATTCCCTACGTGTTGGGATTCAGCATGGAATGGTTTGTGTCATATAATTACCTAAAATTCATTTTTTTCCTATATCAAGTTTCTATATTGAAACTATGAAATATATGGAGATGTTGTCATACTTTGTTTCTCTGTGCAGAGAGTCAGATCTTTTCTCCTGTATGAGTAAGTGATTAAACTTGGGTAAGGATGTCAGTTATTCAGTCTAAGTAAACTTAGGCTCAGTATTATTCTTTACACTGCTATACTGAGTCTAACAAAACCTTGTAGAAGGTCGCGTCAGCTAACCTTTAGGACTGACCAATCAGAAGACAGCTTACCAAATCGCGAACGTTAACATTCGCAGATACCGTTTGAACCTTTACCTCAAAAACTCGAACGATTCCGAATGCTATTATGGGTGATACACATGGAGGACGCAATGAGTAAACAGTCGTTGAAAATAGCGTTTTTGTCAATATTCAATGATGTCATCTTGGAAATATAAGCTAATAGTAACCATGTCATTAGAAACCCATAAGCGTATATACTGCAGGTCAAATATCTCTGTTTTATGCGGATTTTCGTTTGTTGATAGATCAGTGTCAGCGACCAGGGAGAGAAAATCCCAAAACCGTTTTGTAAGTCCCGCCGAACCCTTACAAGTAGTCGTTGACTGATTGGTGAAATCCGTTCGGCCGTCTCACGTTTGATTGGACGGTCATAAGTCACTCAAAGGTAAGCCGACGCGACATTCTACTAGGTTTTGTTAGACTCAGTATAGCAGTGTAACGAATAGTACTGAGTCTAAGTTTACTTTAGACTGGCCAGTCATTGGTTGTATCACGTTTTTATTAGCAGATATAGAACCATTTCGGAACATCTAGCTACAATAACCATGTTGGGAGAGTGTATGCTAGTGTCAGTCGATATGTGACTTATACAAGGAGAAACACTAACTGAGGTGATACCAGACATGCATGTAAATACCTCGTCAGCAGACTGCCATAACCGAAGAGGATTCAGCAAATGAGACATATCAGTTTCTCGAGATATTTTCCTGTTGTCGTATAAAGCGTCCCTGAAAGTGGGTGGAACCTCATTTTTCTGGTCAACTCAGACTCGAGAAATGCCTAACCGAGGACAAGTCGAATGTGACGTATGTATTAGGCTTTGCTATTTCGTCTAGTTCAGAAGGAATATACATCATACGACCGCCCTTCATCCGCGACACAGGTGACATGTTACACTGAAGAACGCAACAAAGAAACCCTGGCTGGATAAGGAAGGGTAAGTTCAACAACAACCTCAGTCAGAATCTGGGAATGAGAACTTCGAGCTTGTAGAAATTATACTTTGGAGGCAACTATATCTGCCAAGTGGCTAAAATAAAAGTGAAAGAGACCCGTTAAACCTGTTTAGACGTATGCATAGAGAATATAAGTAGCAAAACACGTCACAAAAGATTGTTTGCCCAAAATGATGATAGATGCAATTCCCTAGTTTCACGGTGAATACTTGACATGGTTTTGCATGTGTTTCGGAAAGAATGCCTGTCACCTGTCCATATAGTAACATCCATTGCTCCAGAAAATCGTCTATTATTATCTGTACAGGAATGCAAACAGTGAGAGTGCACAAGATATGTAACGTGATTTGTTGTTCTGTAAATGAAAGTGTGTGCTGTAAACTGATTGGCAGGAAACATTGATAGATTTGTACCATTTGCTATAATGAATACAATAAATGAATAGTAAGTCTGATAAATATTCAATAAGTCCGCATAGCTGTTTTGTTAGACATTTTCTTAATGAACATCGTAACAGGAAGTCAATGAAGTTTCATGGTGACGTCAGAGTATTGCCGAAAGACACCATGTTTTAATTGAGTTCAAGAAGGGAGAGCGAGTGAGTTAAGTTTTATGCCGCTTTTAGCAATATGCCAGCAATATCCAGACACCAGAAATTTGGGGGACACCAGAAATGGACTTCATTAATTGTACCCATGTGGGCAATCGAACCCGGGTGTTCGGCGTGATAAGCAAACGCTTTAATCACTAGGCTACCCCACCGCCCCGGATGGAGAGACGGCTTCAGGTAATTACTGAAGTAAATGGCGTTTTCGGGATACATTGTCGATAATTCTATGAAAGTTTCAGATGCAATCAAATAACCGGTAATAACATGTCATTGACCAATAACACATAATCTCCTTAATACCAACCGTATCCGCTGGAACACATTCCATTAGGAGCAAATGGCAAAATCACGGTTGAATTTATATGAATTTGTCAGGTATTCCCGTTTGTAAAGACAAGTCACTTTATTTTAACCTCGTTTCGTTGAAGTTGTTGAAGAGTCTTATATTTTCTTGTTAATGACAGACCCGTGCAGATCCGGGTTAGAATTGATCTTCAGTAACCTATGCTTCTCGTAAGAGGCGACTAACGGGATCAGGTGATCAGACTCGCTGACTTAGATGACACGTGTCATATCGTATCCCAGTTGCGTAGATCGATGCTCATGCTGCTGTTCACCGGGTTGTTCAGACTCGATTATTTACAGACCACCACCATATAGCTGGAATATTGCTGAGTGCGCTGTAAAACTATATTCACTCACTTATCAATAATGCACATGCTCTACCAGCTGGTATATTTAGTAATGTAGTTTTCAATTTGATGAACTTATACATCATATAGAAATGCTGGGACGTCAAACAATGAAACCCGCAATTTATGCTTAACCTCAAACAAAAAATATTTTGTGTTTCAGTAATGTTGACCCAGTCTTCATTTGGATCCTGATGTCTTGAGCATGCTAACAACAATTTCAGATGTATCAGTTTATTATCAAAAAATGAAATACCTGGATATACATGTAATCACAAGGAAACACAGTGTACAGACACGCGCGAGAGAAAGAATACCTATATGTTGTCAATCGTTGTTATATATTTATTGATATTTGTCAAGCTTACTAAAGTTCGTTATTGGAAGATAACACACGATTCCGCCGTAATACGTTACTCAGTAACGATCAGTAATTCAAATACTTTTTCATGTTACAGTCGATTTACAATCTGTGATGCCACAATCGAGATAGAGTCAGTGAATATCCAGTTGCCCAACTGGATCTACGCTAACGCTTAGTGCTAAGAATTACATGCAAAAAGGAACCCCAGTGACTTGGGAGACTTGAACTTGTCGAAAATCTAGACTTGCTTTATCAATGGCCATTGTATATCATAAAGTGTTGGGTGGAGAGGTGAAAACACAGATCCAGCTTACGATATTTCCAGGTATGTACAAATAAACGCTGTCGTAGTCTACATGCATGTACATTCGTTCGAATCAAAGCCAGTGTACTAACATGCGTATTTGTGTGGAACATAAAGTATGAACTATTAAACGAAAGTTCATCGTCCACTGCAAAGCGCACATAAAAGATTCACGTTCGTTTCATGAATGGACAACAATTTACTTTAAGCAACTATGGTTTTATGCTTGTTTGAATTGAAGATGCTTGTCATCGAACATGTTAGGAACATTTTTTCTCGGGATATACTCATGATGTCAGTCTCTGTTAGTGTTTCGTGTCAGAAAAAAATAGGAAAACAATACATAACAAAATATGGAAAGTACATACAGTATAATTATTATAGGGTGCCTCCGTGAAACTGATATCAATATTGTATATGAGTATAGGCTGCTAGGGATGGGAAGGGGATGAGTATAGGCTGCTGGGATGGGAAGGGGATGAGTATAGGCTGCTAGGGATGGGAAGGGGATCAGTATAGACTGTTAGGGATGGGAAGGGGATGAGTATAGGCTGCTGGGGATGGGAAGGGGATGAGTATATGCTAATTGGGATGGGAAGGGGATAGGTATAGGCTGCTAGGGATGGCAAGGGGATGAGTATAGGCTGCTAGGGAAGGGAAGGGGATGAGTATAGGCTGCTAGGGATGGAAGGGGATGAGTATAGGCTGCTAGGGATGAGAAGGGGATGCGTATAGACTGCTAGGGATGGGAAGGGGATGAGTATATGCTAATTGGGATGGGAAGGGGATAGGTATAGGGTGCTAGGGATGGCAAGGGGATGAGTATAGGCTGCTAGGGATGGGGGGGATGAGTATAGGCTGCTGGGGATGGGAAGGGGATGCGCATAGACTGCTAGGGATGGGAAGGGGATGAGTATAGGCTGCTAGGAATGGGAAAGGGGTGAGTATAGACTGCTAGGGATGGGAAGGGGATGAGTATATGCTAATTGGGATGGGAAGGGGATAGGTATAGGCTGCTGGGGATGGGAAGGGGATGAGTATAGGCTGATTGGGATGGGAAGTGGATGAGTATAGGCTGCTAGGAATGGGAAAGGGGATGAGTATAGACTGCTAGGGATGGGGAGGGGATGAGTATAGACTGCTAGGGATGGGAAGGGGATGAGTATATGCTAATTGGGATGGGAAGGGGATGGGTATAGGCTGCTAGGGATGGCAAGGGGGTGAGTATAGGCTGCTAGGGATGGGGAGGGGATGAGTATAGGCTGCTAGGGATGGGAAGGGGATGCGTATAGACTGCTAGGGATGGGAAGGGGATGCATATAGGCTGCTAGGGATGGGAAGGGGATGAGTATAGACTGCTAGGGATGGGAAGGGGATGCATATAGGCTGCTAGGGATGGGAAGGGGATGCGTATAGACTGCTAGGGATGGGAAGGGGATGAGTATAGGCCGCTAGGTATAGGAAGGGGATCAGTATAGGCTGAGGTCAGGTTAGCATAGGCTTCTGGGACTGTGAACCGGATGGTAATAGATTTAAGTAGCTGTTGTTTGTGATATACTCTCTGGGGTATGCAAAGAGATTAAATATGTCAAGGCATTAGTATATATATATATATATATATATATATATATATATATATATATAACCTTCGAAGTATTATAGGATTTGGAATTGTTATTTCATTTTAAATTGTACTTCGGTGATATTACACCACAAGCCCATGTTACAGTAATATTTGGAAGGTTTCAATTAGGGCTGTTTGAAGGTCCTCGGCATTAAACAGGGGACCAAGTGATTTAAAAATCAAATTTCTCAAATGTCTTCTCATGGGGGTTCAGTCTATCTGGTAGTTGTATTCAGTGGCAATATCGATGTGGTATTAAATTGTTCAGTCCACCTATTACACCATATTATCATTTGGAGTACGACAAAACAATGCAAAGGAAAAATATAATAATGTTCTAGCATTAACATCTATCAACAAAAGAATTAGTAATTAGAATTTATAGAGTTTTTAGACTTTAAAACCGAGGATATAACAAACACATTTCAAGCATGCATTGTGTATAATATTTTGTGAGCTCATCAGGATGTGCTGTCGCTGTTGTCAGTGATTGACAATGGCCTGGCATACACGTGCTCTCCATCAGTATCTTGGTTCTTGGCGACCCCCAGTCGTCCAAGTGTAGTGTAGTTGAGTGTGTGAGCGTCTGCGACAGTAGCATAATCTGAAGGGATGTTTGTCGCCACAGAATAGATGGGTTGGTTAACCATCTGCAGTGTTTCGTACGGGCCGGTTTCTTTCACACGAGGACGTCTTTTCCGCCTGGAAAGATTAAAAAATAATATTTATGGTGTTACCTAAGAATAGTTCGGTTCTAACGCACACAGCTCCTCCACTTCATGTATCACTCTTGCTTGACAACGGTACAAGAATCTGTATCGAAACGTCGCACTCACGAAATAAAGAAGTTGTTATCAATAAAAACTTGTTCCATAAAGTATGAGATTCTTGAAGGGTATTTAGAAGTTGGACGAACATGAATACATGACACGTTTTTTATGGATAACAACTTCTTTTTATGACGTTTCAGAGCTAATTCATCAGGTGAATCCGATCATCCGACAATCCATTACCTGATGAAGGAGCAAGAATTAGCTCTGAAACGTCGAATTAAAAAAAACCCAAGAAGTTCTTGTCCATAAAACGTGTCATGTAGAACTGCCACAACGAACTGCCACAACGATCACGATGACAACTATCAACAGCAGGGCAGCCCCAACGGAAGATGCAATAATAACTGAAGTGAAGCATGATATAAATATATTTATAAAAGTCACATTATGTTAGATTATACAGGCGACAAACGCATATTATATTTTCACACAGTTATGGATTTCAAGACAGTATTTCAGTACTTCAGTTAATATGGATAGAAGGATCATGTTTCTCGGAAGTCATGTTGAACAAGAACGTCAGGTTGTTGTTGTACTGTTCATATCATTGAAATTGTTTAAGTTTTAACTTTTTCTGACTGCAATGATCTATTGAAATAACATCAAAATGTACTCCAAGTTGTTTCTAAAGAAGTTGTTCTTAAATCAGCTTAGAAAATGAACATTAACATACCATTTAGAATAATTATACATACTCATCACATTCATTGTATGGGTTAACTATTGAAGGATTATAATGCAAAATTGCGGAGTATTTACACAGCAAGAACTATATGATGTATAGGTAACACAAGCAACGAACCAAGATGAGTGTCATTGGATTTTCCCTCATTTTCGTCATTCTTCAGTTCTGAAATATAAATACGATGTAGAGTGAGTGAGTGAGTTTAGTTTTACTCAGCAATATTCCAGCTATATGGCGGCGGTCTGTAAATAATCGAGTCTGGACCAGACAATCCAGTGATCAACACCATGAGCATCGATCCGCGCAATTGGGAACCGGTGGCATTTGTCAACTAAGCCAGCGACCCTGACCACCCGATCCCGTTAGCCCCCTTTTACGACAAGCATGGGTTACTGAAGATTCATTCTAACCCGGACCTTCACGGGTCAGATGTAGAATAATATTGTTGAAGGAACATAAAATGTAAACGTAGACCTTTGCCATTTATCAGCCAAAACACATTACATTAGACGTAGAAGGTAAACCAGTGGTGACAGTTGTATCAATGGATCACTGAATATCATTCATGGTTCCAGGTGTTCGCGAAAAGGGTTAAGATCTTGCATAAAGAGACATGGTCAACAATGTAGGCAACACACATATACACTGATCACCTCTCATTGCCTTAACCTATTACTGTCTTCCATACACATAACAACGGCACAGTTGTTACATATATTTTACATTTCTCACATATATATCTTACCCTTATCACATTTAATTCCTCCCCAGCCTGGATTGCATCCATCCGGGCACTGGCCAGTCACGTGATTGCAGATTGTGGCCGTCCTGCAGTTTAAGCAGCTGAATGAACACCTGGAACCGAATGTGCCATCTCTGCACGCTGCAAAAGAGAAAACATATTTTCAGAACATTTGCAATCACTTCTTCGCACGTGTGAGTGAGTGAGTTTAGTTTTACGCCATACTCCAGCTATATGGCGGCAGTCTGTAAATAATCGAGACTGGACCAGACAATCAAGTGATCAACAGCATGATCATCGATCTGCGCAAATGGGAATCGGTGACATGTGTCAACCAAGCCAGCGAGCCTGACCACCCGATCCCGTTAGTCGCCTCTTACGACAAGCATGGGTCACTGAAGATAATATAGTATTCTAACCCGGACCTTCACGAGTTTCTTTCGCACAGATGGCTGCTGTAGGTGCAAGTGGTAGTTATTATATGATGCATCCTATGCAAATATTTTTGTCATAGTACGCTGTATAAATTGAAACCATACACCATTAACGGAACAGAGCAGTACCGTTGTAGCAAAAGTTGATTATTGCTAAAACAGCCATAAGCCGTACTCACAAGTATGTGATGACACACGTATGATTAGTTAAGGAAACAATCTGATGATTAGTCATGTGAATGTTGATCATACTTAAGTTATATTGTGTATAATTAGGAGATAAACATACTGTGTTTGAAAATCAGAGGTATATAACGAAATTACAAAAGTTCAAAATTTTATTTAAAACCACAACGGCGTTATCAAGATTTATAAAAATATATACATGTACATACTGTGTTTGGAAATTAGGGGTATAGAACGTGATTATATACATCTGAATGACTTTAATTAGGAAATCACAATCCAGTATTTACTGAAGTCATGGTAGAATATGACTTGGACATTACAACTTACTCTCGTCACACTTAGGTACATACTGTGTTGGGAAATTAGGGATATAGAACGTGATTATATACCTCTGAATGACTTTAATTAAGAAATCACAATCCAGTATTTACTGAAGTCATGGTAGAATATGACTTGGACATTACAACTTACTCTCGTCACACTTAGGTCCAGTCCATCCTGGCTCACATCCGACAGGGCACTGACCAGTCACGTGATTGCAAACACTTCCTGTTTGGCAGTTGGAACAGATCGATGTACATCTTAAACCGTAGCTGCTTTCACTGCACTCTGTAAAGTACATAACAAACGATTTGAGAAACAAAGAGTGAACATATGGTTTTCAGCCTTAACACGATGAAATACACATTGTATTTGACAAACAGCACGAAAGAGTCTATTCTATTTTAGTACCAATGTGGGTTCCGAGAACATCAGCCCACTTCAAACAATTTATATATTTTACAGGCAGTAGAACAGAAACACATTACACCAACAGTAAGGTACATTTTACGGTGCTTTCGTAAAGCGTAAGAAAGCATTTGAAAGGGTAAATGGATATAAACTATTGATTTTACTTTTCAACAATGACATTCACGAAAGATAATTTATGTATGTATGAGAATGTAAAGTCTGCAGTTTCTGATGGTAATGAAAACACATTGCATGTGGTCTAAGAACCAAATATATAGCAGTGCAATATCTGTCAAATTATCCCGAAACTGCCCTTGTGTCAATTTTATCCTCAAATAATGAAAACGTTATTCTCCAACTTGCCTTATATGTAAAACATGCTTTATCTTTAAGAAATGAACTGTTGAGCATTGATTAACTATATTCTTTTCATCCTTGTATTATTGTGAGTATTTATATATATATATATCATGTCTTGTCCTTGTATGTGGGCCGGAGGCCTTAATACAATAAACACTTTGACTTGACTTGACACTCTCAGACCTTTATGTTTCTCAGTTTTATGAGGGCTCTTGTGGAATTTATTGGTTGTAGGTGAGACGAAAATGAGTTCATATTAGAGCAAATGTACAGCATAATGTGTTTGCTTTTAGAAGATTATTTCAAAGTTTCAAAGTAAAATGTGATGTAGGCGTTAAAGATTCTCTCCGCCCTCAATGTAAATCTCCAGGAGATAAAACACACGTATGTCCTGTGTATACCGGTGTTACACCCATTGTAAACTTGTAACAAAGAAATAAGCCAACGATATAATATCATTAATACACTAGACATTAAGGGCATATTCGAGCTGATAAAGTAAATGTTAAATGTATTTTATATTACAATGGAAATGTAATGTAATTCATTACCATGTTGATATGCAATGTAGCATGACTTATAATATACATGTATGTAATTTGGGTTATGAACGCAATAAATTGAACTGAACTAAAAATACGACCAAAGTAAATAATATACAGGGTACAGGGGACAACTTACTTTCGGTACACTTAGATCCAGTCCATCCAGGTTCACATCCAGCCGGGCACTGACCAGTCACGTGATCACAGACACTCCCTGTTTTGCAGTTGGAACAGATTGATCCACATCCAGAGCCGTATGTGCCTTCACGACACACTGCAAAGTA